AAGCAGGTGGTGATGCTGGATGGAGGGGCAGGGCCAAAGGGTGGAGTCTGGGGGAGAGTTGAAAATGGTGATGGGAGAGGCCTGGACCTTGCCCCAAGGTCAGCCTGCTCTCTAGCCGGGTCCAGGGCAGCTACTGGCTGCACTCACTCCTCCCCGGCCTCTAGGAGGAGCCCGAGCCAGAGGCCCCCACTTCCCCTGACCTCAGCCTAGGAGACCAGACTGGGAAACCACACGTTTCACAAAGCGGCAAATCCCGCCAGCCAGCCTGCCTCCACCAACTCCTACACAGCCTTCAAAACCCCACTCCAGGTTGCTTCTTCCACGAAGCTTCCTTTCACAGAGGAGGCCACCTTGTCTAACCTGCTGCAAGCTCAGGGAGTCAGAGGGACTTGCCTGAGGTGACACCTTGCAGGTTCTGACCTGCCCCTTCTCGCCCTCCGCCAGAGGGCCCTGTCCCCAGTTATACTCGGGCTGCACCAAGTCGCTCAGCACACAGTTGTGCTCTTGTTTGCTGCAGGGTTATTCCCTTCGTGGCTGCGACCACCTCCGTGGCAGGAAGTGGGCTTCCTAGTTCCTCCACTCACCGCCAGGCTCACACTTTCTGAGCACTGATTGAGCACCTACTGAGTTCCACCCTATTTCCTCAGGCTCGGTTGACAAGGGACGTTTTGCGTAATCCAGCGGCTTGTGGCAACCCGGTGGCACAGCATCTGCCAAAGCGTTTTATAATCAGAAACACAATAACCAAGTCCGGCAGGGCCTGAGTTCTCAGCTCTGGGCCCCTCATGGTGCCTATTAGGCTCTCAAAGGGGCAGGTGGCTCCTGACCCCATGAGAGACCACCTCCTCCACACCCCAACCTCCCGGGAGCTCTGAATTCTGAATTTTGGGGGAGCCCTGAGCAGCTGGGGGGGAGTCCCTGGTTCCGGCCCTCCCCCCATTGGATGGGGGTGAGCAGACTGGCTGGCTGAGCTGAGCCCTGGCGTGGGCACCCCATCTGATGGGTAATCTCCTGCCCGCCACCTGGGGCCTGGGGCAGCCCCAGCGCCTGTTTGCTCTGTTACTCAGCCGAGCAGCTGGGTAGATGGTTGCTTTCCTGGGGGTGGCTGTGAGGCTGTTTACTGGGGAGGTAGGGGCAGGAAGTGAGGCCAAGTCCCAGGCCTGGCTAAAGAGGAGCAGAAAGGCCATGGCTGTCAGGCAGGGGATAGCCCGCTTGAGGCCTGGGTGTGGGCTGCTGGGTGGGCCCAGCTGGAGGGGAGGGGGGACCCGGGCTAGCTCAGGGCACTGCCCCCACCCCGCATGCATGCATGCACACGTGCACACACACCTTGTCCGGCTCCAGGGGAGGCTCCAGCCACCGAGACCCTTCAGCCCTCCACGCTGTCACCCCCATCACCCAGTTCCTTCCCCCCACACTGGAGGCACCTGGCAAGTCCTAGAAGGGGGCACCTCCAGGCCCCTGCCCTCACCCGCACTGTTTTTTCCCCATGTGCCCAGAGGCACTGTGCCCCCCCCCCCCCCCCGCCCCGGGACTCAAGGCAATCACTCCGATCCCCTGGTTCCCGTGCGCACCACACCCACCCCCCACCCAAGCCGCTGGGCTCTGGAACTGTAGCCCCTGCTCCAACCCCGGACCCTGGCCCTGACCCGGAGCCTCCAGGCTCCAGCAGGGCCCTGCCCACTCGTGACCAGGCTCTGAGAGACCCTGCCCCTGGCAGAGTGGCCGTGTTGGCAGCCACGAAAGGCTGCCTGTGTTTAACTAGCCAAGCAGAACCGGCCTGGTCTCAGGCCGAGGCTCCACACCTGCAGAGCCGCCTCCCCTCAGGCTGGGCAGGGTGGGCTCAGTGTGGAGTTCAGACGGGCTCATCACAGACGTGGGGCACCCCAGGCCGCCCTCCCCAGGCCGGGGGGCTCAACTGGGCCCTGGGGTCAGCCCGGGGGGTGGGGGCAGGCCGGGCAGGCAGTATGCACAGGGATCGGGGGCTTCTGAGGCTGAAAGACCCAGATCAGGGTCATCAACACCTGGGAGCCTGGTGTTGAACGTTCCCTCCACCACCCACCTCCCCAGAGCTGGCAGGGGAAAGCCCCCATGGCCGGGCACTGACCCCCCCACCAGACTTACCCGTTAGCTGCCTGGTGCCCAAAGAGTCGTCCACGGTGGCGCCAACCTTGGGGGCCAGGGGGAGGCACAGGCAGCTGGGACCACTGCTGGGTCTCAGCCAGGCATCTGGGGCGCCGGCGGTACCAGGGGCCGACAGGACCGAGGGCGGAGGTGGCACTCGGGTGAGCCGCCGGGGGCCTGGCCACCCTCGACGGGCGGCTCTCTGAGGTCTCAGGGGGGCTGCACGCCCCGTAGGGAGCCCCCCTGCCCCCAGCTCAGGGCCACTTGCTGGCACCGTGGCGAGACCCAGCCAGGGGGGCTTACAAGGGAGGCCGCGGTGGGCTCGGGGGACGGGGTCTGCGGGGCAGTGTGGACACGGGCGGAGTGCAGGAATGTGCTGGGAGGAAGTTAGGCAGCAAGAGATGAAGAGTTGGCTGGGGCCTGATTTCCCATTATAAGTAATCCTTCCTTATTTACCTGAACAAATACGCTCCCTGCTTACCTCAGACCACAGACGGGCTCCTGGTTAACCCTTGCAGGCCTCCCCCTCCTCGCTGGGGGAACCACCCCCTGGCAGCCTGGGAACTCATTCAGTCACTCATTCATGCATTCATTCACTCACTCACTCACTCATTCATTAGTTGATACATTGTTACCGAGTTCATCTTACATGCAGGGTACAGAGGCTATATTGAGTGGGGTCAGCTGAGGGCAGGGGACAGATGAGCAGGCAGCATTAGAAAAAGCCCAGTGGAGGGATGTGGGAGAACACTGACGGTGGGCATCTGGCAAAGGAAGTCAGCAAGGGCTTCCTGGAGGAGGCGCTGTCTGGCTCCCCAGGTCAGGGGTGGAGAGAGCTTTGGGGAAAGAGACCCAAGGCTCATAGACCCGCCCACCCTATGCTCTGCCCCACAGGGCCTGGCGCAGGCCTGTCATAGCCTGGTTCTCAGCAAGGACCAGTAGCTCGCTTTCCCAGGCCCGGAGCGGCGGTCAGCCGGCAGCAGCACAGAAGCTCCAGCCCCAGCACCCACCTGGGCTCCTCCACCTCTGGGAGACCAAGTGAGGCCACGTAGCCAAGCTCTCAGCTTCTTCCTCGTCCTGCCAGGTGGGCTGAGGGCTGCCCTGCCCTCCAGGGCCTCTTGTTCTAAATCACCTTGGAAGGGCGCCTGGCATCTGAAACCCCCACGCTGTCAGACGGAGGCATTTCAGACAGTATTTATTGTTATGTTCCCATTTCAGAAGTAATTGTGTCACTACAGTCACACAATTGTGTGACAACTTACAGAATGATTTTTCTAGGGCCTCTGGAAGATTCCAAGGCTTTCAGAACCTTGTCCCCTCACCTTAACTGATGCCAAAATTTTCTACCATATGGTTGTACTTTTCACCCTGGAGAGCCTGTGCTTAGCTGTTAACTATCACAGGTGTCTTGGTAAGGAGGAATTATCAGAGTCATTTCCCTGAGAAGGTGGAGGTAGGATGGAATGGAGATTGGGGAGGTAACATGAGTTTCCAAAATGACTACGGTCAACCATCCCAGCCTTCCAGAACCAAGAAAAAAGAAAGAACTCCAACATTCCCAGGCGGGGCCTTCTCTCCATTCTCCCAGAAGCTTGCACTTGTATTAGCACTAATAGTAATGGCCACTGAGCACTTACTAAGTGCCAGGCACAGTTTATCGCTCATGAGACACTAAGGTATTGATCACATTATAAGTACTGTAACATGGGTGAGTACAGGGAGTATCCAATAAATGCTTATTGAATGGATGGGGTGTCATAGCTAGTTACCCCCAATGTCCATTCTCTTTTCCTCAATAAACAAACACCTACTTTATCTGGGAACCTGGCTACCTGGAACTAAGACTATCTCAGACTCCCTTGCAGCTAGATGCGACTGTGGGACCAAGTAGCAGTGTCATGTGTCACTTGCTACAAATCTTTCTTAAAAGTAAACTATCAAGAAAAAAAAGTAAACTAGCATGTATGATTTACCTCCTTCTTTATCCTTCCTCTGTGTTACTGCCTGGGATGCAGCTGTGATGGCTGGAATCTTGGCTGCCATTTTGGACCATGGAATCAAAATGCTGGAACAGTGAGCTGGAAGGAGCTTAGGTCTTTGAGGACTGCATAAAACCTCCATACTGGCTTTGGATTGCATGCCTCAGGACTTCTGTGAGAGAAACAGACCTTTGATTTTTGGTAAGTGGTGTCTTTATTACTCAAAGTCAAGCCTGATTCTATGAGACAGACCAGAAGATGGGAAGATAGATGAAGATAGAATACTCTTGCAGCCAGAGAAGACATTTCATGACTGGGTGGCAATGAGAAGGGAACTGGTCATACCACAGAAAACCTTGACCTTCGGAAGGCTGCTCCTTGAATGCTGGTACAGCTTTGCCTTGGGCCCAAAGGAGCACTTCATAGGTGTCCCCAGGAATGGTGGGCCTGCGTGGATGGACCAGGATAAGCTGTGCTGAGAATGGACAGTGATTATACCCACCCAGGCCTGGAATAAGGAAACAAAGCTGCCTTTGGAGGATGGAAAGATCCAAGAAGTAGCAAGGATATGACCCTGCATCCACTCAGCCGGGGTTCACACGGACCACAGCGCTAAGAGGCTGCATGGGAGGATGTCCGTGGTGGGCTCAAGGCAGGTCTGGTGCTCACCTGGGGCAAACCTGCCTGTGGGCTCCAGGGGAAGGGAGGGCCAAATAAGGGACTCTGGGTAACTAACATACCCCACCAGCACCTTGATCCATCCAGCATGGTGTTGTAACACCAGCTCAGGGTTTGACCCAAATACACACCCTAGTTCTGTCACCTTCCACCTTTGTGACTTTGGCTGGAACCTACCAAACTCCCCCTTCCCCTCTCTGAGGCACTCTAGGAGCTGTGGTATTAGTTAGTGTTGGTCACTAAGTCATGTCCAACTCTTTGCGACCCTATGGACTGTAGCCCGCCAGGCTCCTCTGTCCATGGGATTCTCCAGGCAAGAAAACCAGAGTGGACAAGAAAACTAAATGGTTCCTTCTCCAGGGAATCTTCCCAACACAGGAATCGAACCAAGGTCTTCTGCACTGCAGGTGGTTTCTTTACCGTCTGAGCCACAGGGAAGCCTAGAGTTGTGGTGAGGGGTGAGATAAAGTTGTGAAAGTGCTCTGCAAACCTCAACGCCCTCTCCCGGGGCCTTGCTAATGACCAAGCACAAAGCCATGTCATCTTATTCCCCATTAGCAGCCCTTTCAGGTAACTTACTGTGCCCATTTTCCAGGTGAAGAAACTGAGGCCCAGATGTTACAATGTCTTGTAACAAGGTCATGATGGTAATCAGATATAAGCTCATATCTGAAGTTTCCTCGATCACCTTATGCCTGATAGTACCCTCTTACTAGCCACCTTGTTCCCTTGGGGTCAAGTCCCAGGTCCTTGGCATGGCTCACTGGGTCTAGTAGAGTTTCCGTCCCCTGCCCACAGCTCCCCAAGGCTGGTCTCCCCTTCAGTCCCCCTTAGGCCAGCCCCTCAGGGGGTGAAATCTGCCCCCTCCTGTTCTCCCCCACCCATCCATTACGGGCAATGCCTTTCCCACATCCACCCGCTGCCGACCTGGGGTCCAACACACACCCACTCCATCCTGGAACTTTTCTCTGACCTACTGAGATAACATTCTCTCCAGCCACTGGGGTTTCTCAGGCTTGAGCGTGTACACGGGGAGCTGTCACCCCCTCGGGCTGTGAGCTCTGACAGCAGGGCAGGAGCCTGGTGGAGCCATCGCCCTCTGCACAACCTGGATGAACCGGGAAAGTCCTTTTTTCTGTCGTTCAAATGGAGTTGAGTTTCTTCTACTTCAATGGAAAGAATCCTCATCTTTTGAGCCCCAACTCAAGAGCTCTCTACTCCAGAGAGTTTTCTCGTGTCCCCTCGAGCCCCTGCAGACCCCACATGTCCCAATTCTTTGTCTCCTTTTCCCAGTGTTTCTTTCCTTCCCCAGAGTCTAACTCCTTGAGGGCAGGCACTTGGCTTGGCGCTGCCAGCCCCTGGCCGCCTCTGGACCTTTATCACCTCCCCTGTGAAATGGACATAACACCTGCCCTGCTGATCCTGCTGGCAGGGCCTTGTGATGAGTGATGAAAAACTGAGAAAGGAAGTGGAAAGGGCGGTCTGTCTTTGTCTATTGGTCCGTTGGTCAATAGACTGCTGCTCCCATGTCCTTGGGTCCCACTCTCCTAGGATTCCCACCGCCTGGAGCACACAAGTCCCCCGGGCCGTGACACGGTGCTCTGGGCAGGCCAGCAGGCGTTCACTGAGCACCTACTCTGTGCCAGGCCCTGTACGGGCGCGAGGGGCAGGGTGGCTGGGCACAGTGTGTCCTGGAGGAGTTCAAGGCCTGGTGGCATCAGAGGGCCCAGGTGACCTCCAGCGCCTCTCCCAAGGCTAGCCATCTATGGTCACTGGTTTCACGAACACCTGCTGTATGCATGACCCTCTCCACTCTGGGAAAAACCGACAGGAGATGCCGAAGGCTTTTCCTCACCAATGCCATCCCTCCTCCTCCCCAGACATTCTCCTCCGGAATGGAGGCTGAGCAGAAGGACCAGCCTTCCCTGTGTCTAAGGTCTTTGGTGCTCACCCCCCAACACACTCTTGTCTACAGCCTCATCCACCCACCCCATCACTGGTTCACACCTCGGACAAAGCTGAGGCAGCCTCAGTCCACCCCAGGACCCCAGAGCTCTCAGGAGCTTCCCTGGGAACTGAGGCACACAGAGCTCCTGCCAGAGATAGGCTCCAAGCCTGGGGAAACTTGCAGGGCTCTCAGGGGATCAGAGAGGACACACACACATGCAGACACACACACACACACACACGCAGAGAAATATACACATGAAGCATCCGCTTCTGTCCCGCCAGGCCCCTGCGATGGTAGAGCAGGGTGATGACCCAAGATACAACCTGGCCCTGGGCCAGATCTCTGCCATCTATTCACTGCACACACGTGGGCTGAGGCCTACTGTGGGCCAGGCAGGGCTCCTCAGGATACAGCAGCGAGCTCTGGTTGGTTTACATTCTAGAGGAGAAAGACAGATGGTCAACAGGAAAAGTAACAAACGATTGAATTACATAGCACTGCTAGGGGCTGATGAGGGCCATGAAAAACAGCTCCTGGGGCGTGCTGGGTGGGACGCAAGGGGTAACGGGAAACAGGGTGGTCAGGGCAGGCCTCCTTGGAGAGGTGAAATCTGAGCAAAAACGTGAAGGCAGTGAAGATGTGAGCCCCGAGTTACCTCTACGCATTCCAGGTGGAGGCAAAGCTGGAGGCTGGAGCAGAGGGCAGGGAGAGGAGGGGGATGAGGCCGGGGGCGGACTAGAGGGCAGCCTGGGAGCCTGGGCTCCTCGCTTCCCAGGCCTTTCTGCCCAGCACTTACCCCGGCTCCCTGCGCGCTTAACTCACAGCAGTGTCCCTGGGAGGCCCCGGGAGGCATCTCCCATTCGCGGCCGGGTTAAACCGCAGAGAGGAAACTGAGGCAGGCGGAGGCCGGGAGCCAGGAGACCAAGACAGGCCCGCCCCCGCCACCGCGGCCGCCTCCCCACCTCCGGGCATCGGTCGCCCCTCCCGGCCCGCTCCAGGGGGGCGCCGGGTGCACCCCTGGCCCGGCCATCCATCGTGGGGGGTGGGGGCGGCGGTACGCGTCACTCCCGTGCCCGTGAGTCGCTGCCTTTCCCCCATTAGTGCGGGGCCGCGGGCAGACCAAACCGCAGACCCAGATAAGAGCACAATCGAACCTGTTTTGCTCGCAGGCCGTCCTGGGGGCTGGGTGGGAAGTCGGGGAGGCCGCTGGCAGCGCCCCGCGCCTGCTATCAGCCCCTTTGAAATTTACCCACCTTATCAGGGCCGCGCTTTCCGAGAGGGGTTGGGGGGAGGGGACCAGGAGGCTGCTTTCCTTCCGCGGCTCGTGCCCAAAGGAGAGGATGGGGTCATGTCCTGGGAAGGGCCCCCCGCCCCCCACCAAGGACTCAACCCCCCACCCCTGTCACTGCCCCGCGGGCACCGCCCAGGCCGAAAAGTTCCCCCTCCCATCCTGCCCTGACCTGGCACCCCACACATGCAGCACCCACTCCCTCACCCCCTCCCCAGCCGTGGGCGCCTGTAACACGCCGACCCCCCAGTCACACCCTGGGCAAATGTTTATTTGCTGAGCACCTGCTGCCCGCCGAAGGGACACACCAACCTCACTCCCCCACGGAGCTGACGCTGGAGCTGAGGAGACAGTAAATAAACACAAATAAGTAGGTAAGAGAGTGTGTTCGCAGGTGATGACCCCTGCAGTGGGGCAAAAACAAGCAAGGGTGTAGGATGGAAGTGTTGGGCAATTTTAAGTGTGTGTGTGAAGGGGGTGAGGGGTCGGGGAAAGTCTGAGAAGGTGATGTTTGCATCAAGACCGGGAGGATTCCAACTCTCTCCCTGGGGTTAGAATCCCACGGAAGGGCAGAGCCAGGAGGAGAGATTAGCCAGTCCTCTGAGATCCTTTTTTACTGAGGCTCAGAGAGGGTGATGAAATGCCGAAGGTCACACAGCACCATGACAGCAGAGCAGCCAGAGTTCGAGCTCAGCCAGGACCTTTCTCCGCGTTCCCGTGGGCGGGACAGCAGGCCATTGTCGGACAGTTTGGGGGGTGGGCTGAGCCAGGAAGTGCAGCGTCGACAGCCGTCTGACTCTGCCTTTTGTAGACCAGGTGCCCGCCAGGTGGAGTTTGAGGCTGAGGGTCAGGGCCCGGCCCGGTGGGAAGGCTGCAGGGTGTGTGTGGATGGTGTCGTGGTGGGGACGGCAGCCCAGTGTCCGGGTCCTCTGGCTCCCTCGCCAGCCCTGCTCTCCATCGGCCCTGGATGTCCAGGTCCACAGTGGCCCAACCTGGAGGGTGAGTCTTTCCAGGAGGAGCCCCTCTTTAGCCTCAGCGCTCCCTCCGGACACACGCTCCTGCGGTGAAGAGTGAGTGGGTGACCAGCCGCACAGTGGCCGTGGAGCCCTGCGGCCAGGAAGGGCGGACCCCGGGGCCTGGCTGAGGCCCGACAGGCTCTAAGGAGACAGATGAGAAATCAGAGCTGAGGGGCTCAGGGCCCTGGGGTGGTGGGGGCAGCGTCCAGAGACCCTCGGGCACTGTTTTTATGGATCTGCAGAAGCATCTGGGAGGAGCAGAGCCTGGAAACTAACTTGAAGTCCCAGCTCTGCTGCTTCTGGCTGTGTGACCTTGGGCAGGTCCGTTTCCCACCCAGCCTCGGTTTCTCTTCTCACTGAAAGGGGAGCGAGAATTTCTTCTTCAAAGGGATGTTGTAAGGAGCAAACGAGAGAATGTGCGGGTGCCTGGCACACAGCCAGGACCTGTCGACAGTGGAACGGTATCCCCGTGGGGACCTCTGTCTCTCTCATCTGGATGGTGGCCAGGGTCAGGGAGCACTGAGCAGGTGCCAAGCACTTAGAGGCTGTTTTTAGGACCCTTGTTAATTGGATTGACCACAGTCCTGAGTTTATGACCCGCGCTCACCATAGGCCCTCTCGATTATTAATCATGTAATGAACACAGGGACCCAACTGCTAACCCAGGGTCAAGGTTATTACCAGCCATGCTACTGAATTAATTCACGTATTTCTCACATTAATCCTCCCACACTTGAATTTTTTTTTAATCGTATGTATTTGTTTTTATATTTTAGTTTTGGCTGCTCTGCGTCCTCACTGCTGCGCACAGGCTCTCCCTAGCTGTGGTGAGCGGGGGCTACTGTCTAGTTGGGACGTGCAGGCTGCTCACTGCAGTGGTTTCTCTTGTTGCGGAGCATGGGCTCTGGGGTGTGGGCGCAGTAGCTGTGATGCACCAGTTCAGTTGCCCCATGTCACGTGGGGTCTTCCCAGACCAGGGACTGAACCCACGTCCCCTGCATTGACAGGCAGATTCTTAACCTCTGGACCACCAGGGAAGTCCCCCTCCTAGACTTTGACCCCAATGTGTCCCCATTTTACAGATGAGGAAATTGAGGCACAACTGAGGATTCAGTACCTCCTGTCCACTGATGCTGGAGATTCATTGGGTACATTTTTCCAGTTGACTTCCTGTTCTGGGCTCCAGAGCCCCTGATGATGAGTCTCCACATGACCCCCACCCCACCCCTGCCGTGTTCTGTAGCTCAGCTCAGGGGGTTACAGCCATGGACTCAGCCCCTGGCTCCCTGCAGGGCCCCACCTCTGACGTCTGGGGGAGCCATGGGGAGGACCCTGGCCAGACCCATGCTCTCTGCTGGCCTCTCCCTGCCCCCCGCCCCCCGCGAGCCCCCTTCAGCCCAGCTTGGTGACACAAGAGCCTGGTGATCCTCCTGGGTGCCCAAGAATAAATGAAGGAAATGAACAAGTGAATGAATGAATGAAAATGCTAAAAAGGGGAAAGGGAAATGGAGAGAAAAACACATGGCATTTCTGAAAGCTGAGGGGGAGGGGTGGGAGGAGGCTGAGGCAGGACTTGGTGTTGAACGATGCCCCTTTGCCAGCTGCTGCACTCAGGGAGCCCCCAAGTGTGGATCTGACCCTCAGATCCTGCTGCCCAGGCCCTGACCCTGAGTCCTGCCCCTCCCCCACAGTGACTTCCCAGATACAGAGGCAGCTGCAGCGTTCCCAGAACCGTCCTAAGATGACACAGCTAAAGCTGCTCTAGGGGCCGGGACTGTGGGTGGCGCACCCCTGCCAGGCAGCCGCACCACCAGGCAGGAAGTGCTGTGCCCTCGCCTGCTGCCAGGAATGGCCAGCTCCTTGACGTAGGGTTGGGAGGGTTTGAGGTCCTGGGCAGAGTCAGGGTTAGTTTAAGATTGGAAGGTCCTGAGGCCTGACCTCTCTCAGCAGAGTCCAGATGCAATGCTGGGGAACCAACCTTCTTCCATACACACGTGGGTCTTGACCTGTGTGGGGAGCTGGTCACTCCTGAGAATCTACTTGAGAACACACATAATTCCAGGGGCTCACAGACACCCCTGCAGCCCCTCCATGGACCCCAGATTAAGAGGCCCCATTCTCCTAGGAACAGAGTTGCCATATGACCCAACAATCCCACTCCTGGGTATATATGCCAAGAAAACTCTAATTCAAAAAGATACCTGCACCCCTATGTTCATTGCAGCACTATTTACAAGAGCCAAGACACAGAAGCAACCCAAATATGCATCGACAGATGAATGGATAAAGATGTGTATCCACAGTGGGATATTCCTCACCATGTCCTGTCCTATGAGCTCAGTCGTGTCTGACTCTTTGCAACCCCATGGACTGTAGCCCGCCAGGCTCCTCTGTCCTTGGAATCCACCAGGCAAGGATACTGGAGTGGGTTGCCATTTCCTTTTCCATTTACTCACCATAGAAAGAATGAAATAATGCCTTTTGCGGCTACATGGCTGGGCCTAGAGATTATCACACTGATTGAAGTAAATCAGATAGAGAGAGATAAATATATAATATTTATGTAGAATATGTATGTAGAATCTGAAATATGTAACAAATGACCTTATTTGTGGAACAGAAACAGCCTCACAGACATAGAACTGTGAGTTCTATGTTAATTTCCGGTAACCAAAGAGGAAAGGGGGTGTGGGAGGGACAAATTGGGAGTTTTGGATTAGAAGATGTAAACTACTACATATAAAACAGATACACAACAAGGTCCTACTGTATAGCACAGGGAACTATAGTCAATATCCTGTAATAAACTAGTGGAAAAGAATATGAAAAAGAATATATATACAAATCTGTATATATATGTAAAGCTGAATCACTCTGCTGTATACCAGAAACTAACACAACACTGTAAATCAACAATGCTTATAAGAAGAGTCTCAGCCCTGGACTGTGGGCAATGAGTGGGTGGGACGGTTCAATTCATTTCCAGCTCCCAGCAAAACATCTGGCACACAGTAGGTGCTTAACATGTGCTTATTTCCACAAATCACCAGATGATACGGACTTGGATGAGGGAAAGGGCAGCTGCAACAGGGCTGATCAGAGGACTAGATCGGGAAGGGAACAGGTGGTGAGGCGGGTGTCCCTGGGCCGCTCACGGCCCCCGTGGCCCCGACTGCCATCAGAGCAAGTGCGTGGGGTCTCTGGGGCCCAGGAGGTGCCACGTGGTCCTGCCCCCTGGCGCCCACGATGCTTCAGCTCCAAGGGCCATGGGACTCTGTCCCCAGACACTGTGACTTGTTCCAACACCTACTGAGCACCGGAGAAGGAAATGGCAACCCACTCCGGTACTCTTGCCTGGAGAATTCCGTGGATGGAGGAGCCTGGTGGGTTGCAGTCCACGGGGTCGCAGAGAGTCGGACACGACTGAGCGACATCACTTTCTTTCTTTCTATAGTTCCTTTTGGAGAAGGAAATGGCAACCCACTCCTGTGTTCTTGCTTGGAGAATCCCAGGGACGGAGGGGCCTGGTGGGCTGTGGTCTATGGGGTTGCAAAGAGTCGGACACGACTGAGCAACTCACACACACACTGAGCACTGGTTGCACATTACGCTGTTCCAGACACTAGTGACCAACAGTGAGTGCAACAGGCCCTGCGCTCGGGGGCTCACAGACTCACTTCCACACTTCTCCATGTGCCGTCATACTGAATCACAGAATCTAGCATGGGCATCAGCTCCCCGGGAAGCCTTCGCCGAGCCTGCCGGTGTTGGGGGCCCTGGGATCGGGACACAAATCTCACCTTTTCAAACAGTCCTTCTGCTTTTCCATCTCCTGCCCTGAGCAGGGAGTCCACAGGGACAGAAACTTTGTCACATTTTCTTGGCATCCTAGGCCTTGAGCACAGTGTCTAGCAAAAAGCTATGCGTGGAATAAAGGGATGGATGGACGGAAAGATGGCCTGATGGGCAGCTGGGGGCACCAGCCAGGGAGTGGGAAGGAAACGGGCTGGGCTGAGGGAGGCCTGGGAACGTCCCTGGGGAGGGCAGAGGGTGTGGGGAGGGTGGGAGGGAGGCTCCCTCCTCCTGGCTGAGGCCTGATTTCCTTGGAAACAATGGCCACAGGTGTGGGGAGGAGGGTCGGGGAGGGCTGATGGAGAGCAGCATTTGCTTCCTGGTCCAGGGTTTCCAGTCGAGGATTTTGAGCTCTTACCTCCCTGGGTTGTGACCCCTGCGTTACCAGGCCCAGGAGGGCCCGAGACATGGCCCACTCTGCGCTCAGACCCCAAGACAGGCTCAGAGGATTGGAGGTCCCCCCGCCTGAGGCCCCCCCAGCTGTCGGGGATCGGCTCCTGGTCTCCGCTGTCTTCATTCTTGGGCACGGCCTGCCTGACTCTGCCGAGCCAAGGAGGGGACTCCCCTGGGGGTTCCTCCCTCCTGATGGAGGGGGCAAGCCAGCCCTGCCTCTGTGGGCGCCCCCCGGGTCAGAGGGGAGCAGGGGCCTGCCCACCCCCGGGGCACAGAGGGCAGTGGGACCCGCATAGAGGGCTGGTCGGAGGGGTCTGTCCCCTCCCACTGCCCCAGCCTGGACCGCCTCCCGGCTCCTTCACCGCCAACACTGCCCCTCTCCTCTGGAGCCTTTGTCTCTCCTGGAAGAGGGGAGAGGAGATAGAGACGGGCTGAAGAGGGGTCCTGCCCTCAGGGGTGTGAAGACTGCAACAGCGGGAGCAGGGTTCTGGGAACCGTGCCTGCACTCCCCAGAATGACGGACGTCAAAGCCGGGAGGGAGGAACCTCCGGCTGAGCTGTCTAATGATTCATGTTGCAGGGGTGAAGCAAAGGCCCAGAGAGGGAAGGGACTTGCACAAGGTCACACAGCATCATCTGAACTATTTTCTCGGGACTCCATAAAGGCACTCTTCCAAGCACTTGACACAAATTAACTCCTTCCAGCAACCCTACGGGGACCAGTGTGCTATTATAATCTGCATTTTACAGATGGAGAACATGAGGCACAGAGAGGTTTAGGAAGTTGCCTCAGGTCACAGAGCTTGTGCGTGGCAGGGCTAAGCCTGACTCCAGGGCCTCACGCACAGCCCTGGGCTTCGTCGCCTCTTGCTAAAGCTACCAAGTGGGAGTCTTGGTCCCTCCTCGGCTCTGCCTGCCGTGTGGCTTCAATTCAGTCTGCCACAGTCTGTGTGCCTGTGACTCACAAACACAATAATGTTACTTTTTGCACTTGCGGAAGCTTTTCGGTGGTCCAGGCAATGGGAACCAATGCCTTTTCTACATAGTGTCACTTAATTCTCATCGTGACTGTATGGGGTAGGTGTCACACCTCCATTTGAAGATGAGAAAACCGAGGCAGAGAGGTTAATTAACTCAGGGACACACATCTCGTAAGAAACAGCCAGCATGCAAAGCCAGCCAAGCTCTGATCACTGGTCCCTCCTGCCTGTACATGGGCTGGGATGGGCAAGGGGTCCCGGAGTCAGTCAGTCCCCGGGAGGTCATTCTGTGCAGACCCTTCCTCCACTTTAGTGGGCATCTTGCTACATGCACCCTTTGCTGGGCTTGGCAGCTTCAGGGCCCCCAGAAACTGCCCTACCCCCAACCGGTGACCCTTGCCCCCTCTGACCACCAGACGCTGCTTCTGCGTCACATCAGGGAAGCTAGGATCCTTGCACCCAGCCTTGGACGCAATTGGCAGCAGGTGCAGGAAGCGGACTCGCCCAGCATCTCGGGTGTCACACAGGAAACTTCACCCTGAGTCTAGGCTCCCCCACTGGCTCCCCCCCACCCCCAGCCCCCCCACCATGCTCACTCACCGCTTCTCACTCAGCCCTTAGGGAACCCCGGCCAGCCGCCCAGACGGGCAGACAGGAAGGATTCCAGGGGCAGGAGGACGGGGCTGGGACTCAGGCAGTGGGGACGGGCAAGACGTGGAGAGGAGTTAGGGGAAGGTGCGGAGCTTTCCCAGGGCACCCTGAGCTCAGCTCTCCTGCATGAGCAGAAGCGTGAATGACCGGCAGGACAGACAAGCGCTGTGAGCTCTGGCGAGTCCACCCACCTCCCCGGGCCTCAACTCAGACCTCTCAGGCTGAGATGAGGATTAGCCTCGCTGGCACATGGGGACAGCGAGTGTGTGTGTGTGTGTGTGTGTGTGTGTAGGGGGTCACCTGATGGGTACTCACAACTATCTCGTGCACGGTCCTCATCTTATCCCCATTTTAGAGATAAACAAACTGAGGTGACCTGCCCATACCTGGGCAGTAGCAGAGCTGTTTAGAGCAAGGGTCTACCTAACCAGGCGTCTTAGAGCATTTGAGGTAGGAGTGGGTGGGAAGCCTGGGGGTCGGAGGGAGCAGAGGCTGGAGACCCCCTCTTCGTCCTCCGCAGGGTGGGTGGGTCAAGGGCCTGGGGCGGGGGGCTCGAGATCTGGCTGCAGTCCCACCTCTGTCTGACTTGCTGTGCAACCTCCACAAGTTCCTTTCCCTCTCTGGGCTTCAGCCTGCTCTTCTGAAAAGCGAGAGGCTGGACTAGACCATCAGTCACTAGTGGGCTCTCCTAGCGCTGTGCTGTGCTAAGTCGCTTCAGCCGTGTCCGACTCTTTGGGACCCCGTGGACTGTAGCCCGCCAGGCTCCTCTGTCCACCGGGTTCTCCAGGTAAAAACACTGGAGTGGGCTGCCATGCCCTCCTCCAGGGGATCTTCCCAACCCAGGGATCGAACCCAAGTCTCTAACGTCTCCTGCCTTGGGGGGTGCATTCTTTACCACCACTGCCACCTGGGGGCCCTCCCTGTCCCCGCCCACAATCCCCCGCAATTGCGGGAGGGGACCCCAGGCCCCCTCCCTGAGTTTCCTCCCCGTCAGCGTCCTCAGCAGCACTCACGGTGACCAGCAGGCACTTCACGCACGTCGGCTCGTTTCACATGCACACACCCTTGGGAGGAAGTTCTTATTTCCTGCTTACAGATGAGACCGAGATACAGAGAAGTCAAGGGGGCAGCCACCTCCACCGCGGGGAGGTGAGTGGGCAGAATGAGGGGCCCCGATCTCCACGCCTCCCACAGTAGGCGATCGGGGCCCGGCAGAGCCCACCACCGACTTGTCCTCCGACCGCCAGGCCCTCACTCACCTGCATGGTGGCCAGGCACGCCTGGGGCCGACTTCCCACGGCTCGGCCTTTGCGCACGCAGGGGCTGGTGGCAGGCATCAGTGAGCCCTCTGCAACTGGGTGGAGGAGAATAGTAAGCCTGAGACCAGCCATAGACCCTCGAGGTTCCCAGCAGTTTATACGTTTAACGTTCAAGCCGAACATGGACCCTATGAGGTGGGCACTTCTACCATCAAGCCCAGTTTACAGAAAAGGTGACTGAGGCAGAGGCGAGGCCACGCTACCTCCTGGTAACGCAGCAGCACATGCAGAGTGAGGGCTGCCCCCTGGCAGCCTGGCCCGCGAACCACTGTGCTCCTGCCCTCCCCACACACGTGAAACAAGGAAAACAACAGCGGACAGGCGATCTGTAATTGAGGATGTCACTGTACGGGACAGACTCTCCGTGCCCGAGAGAAGCTGAGCAGGGAGGTGATCAAAGTTTCAGAGAAGAAAGCCTGAGTCCTGGCGACCAAGGAATAGGGAAGGGTGGGTCGGGGTTGAGGCACTGGTCTCCCCATATAGGTGCCTGGTCCATTTGAGATACTGGGGGCCCCACCCTAGCCCACCTCCCTACCCCCACACCAACCCTGCGCCTCCCATTGCACAGATGGGAAAACCGAGGCCTGAGCTCTGTCCATCAGGACCCTGTGGGGGCATCAAGACGAAGGGAAGTGTTCCTGGGGGGCCAGAAGGAGGGGACAGGGGCCCTCCTCGCCTGGCCTGGGACCTTTTGCTCTCCAAGCTTCCAGTCCCTGCCCATCCAGGGAAGGCTTACCCTTCCCCGACTCCGAACACCGCGGGCAACACATGAGGGGCCAGGGCTGCCCTTCGCTAGAGGGCCCCTGAAGCATCCTTCAGCCTCCAGAACCCGCCCAGGGAGGAGGCCGCTTCACTGACGGAGGAACGAGAGCTCAGAGAAGGTCATTCACATGCCCGAGGTCACACAGCAGAGCGGAAGTGGGTCTCTCTTGAGAAGGGGGAGGAGCAGAGAACAGGGAGGAAGGGGGTGCGGAGGAGACAGGGGAGGGGGCGGTCTCAGGGGCCCTCCTTCTCACACTTCCCTGCCCATTCTCAGGAAAAGAAAAACAAACAGCCGGCAGCCACTGCCAAGTGGCTGCCCTCGCCCCCAGCAGGGACAAGGCGTCTGCCTGGTGAGGCTCCAGTGGGGTGGGGCCTCTTAGGAGGGGCCGGGAAGGGCTGTTTGTTCCTGGGCAGCCCAGGTTCGGGATGGCTTTATGGTACCATCTGGACGATGTGGCTCGGGCGGGCCTTGCTGGCCGCGGGCCAGGGCGGGGAGGGGGTACCAGGGCCCAGTGAGGAGCTGCCCCCCAGCTGTTGCCTGGCCCCACGAGGAGGGCGGGGGCCTCAGGTGGGCATGAGCTGGGCACCGTCTGCAGATCTTGTGAAGCAGGAACTAGCCCCCTTTCACGGGCGGGAGACACTGAGGCCCAGCGGATCAGTGAACAGCCCCAAATCACAGCTGGCCGGGTGGAAGTGACACGGAGCCCACGTCTCACCATCCACCCGCCTCTCGGCACTGCCACAGGAGTGCTGGGCACCAGGGCAGGCCTGGAACCATGCGGCCCAGATGCCCTGAAGCCGTGGGCCAGCATCTCCACCTCCTTAGTGTTCCGTGTCCTGTACTGTCAAATGGAGATACGATACACCTTCTGGGCCAATCGATGGGAGAAACGGGTGAGACAGCATTTGTGCATGAGACAGCAGCATTTGTGCATGAGACAGCAGTCCCCGGGATGAACGTGGGTTTCCAGTTTACCACAGGGTAAAGCCCTACCTCGGCATCTAAGACCCTTGACAGCAGGATGTAGCTCAGGCCCTCCCACCTCCATCCTTGCCCCTCCCTCTGGGGAGTTTGGGCAAGTCCATCTCCTCTCTGACCCGCACTGTTTCTCCTGCATCAGATGGAGGTGGTGGGGGTAGACAATGTTCTCACAGGGGGTCCACGAAGCCTCCAAGGAGCCCCTGTGGGAGAAAAGACATCATAAACATAATGTCTTTATTTTTGGGGGGCTCCAAAATCACTGCAGATGGTGACTGCAGCCATGAAATTAAAAGATGCTTACTCCTTAGAAGAAAAGTTATGACCAACCTAGACAGCATATCAAAAACAGAGACATTACTTTGTCAACAAAGGTTCATCTAGTCAAGGCTATGGTTTTTCCAGTGGTCATGTATGGGTGTGAGAGTTGGACATAAAGAAAGCTGAGCGCCGAAGAATTGATGCTTTTGAACTGTGGTGTTGGAGAAGACTCTTGAGAGTCCCTTGGACTGCAAGGAGATCCAACCAGTCCATCCTAAAGGAGATCAGTCCTGGGTGTTCACTGGAAGGACTGATATTGAAGCTGAAACTCCAATACTTTGGTCACCTCATGTGAAGAGCTGACTCATTTGAAAAGACCCTGATGCTGAGAAAGATTGAAGGTGGGAGAAGCGGACGACAGAGGATGAGATGGTTGGATGGCGTCACCGACTCCATGGACATGGGTTTGGGTAAACTCCAGGAGTTGGTGATGGACAGGGAGGCCTGGCATGCTGCAGTCCATGGGGTTGCAAAGAGTCAGACACGACTGAGCGACTGAACTGAACGGAAACATAGTGTACTGTGACTCAATAACATCATCGCCCCAAGCGGGGTCCGTCCTTCGCTCCTTAGTGAGAAGTTTATTCCGTCTTCCTAAGGGCCTCAGAGATGTAATGTGAGAGATAAGGTCGGGGGCAGCAGGGTTTTCAGGAAGGGACTTGGGGAGCCAGCTGGATCTCCTTCCTCCCCCAGCACCCTGAGGTCGCTCTTTCTTGGGAGAAGAGCGCTCAGGGCCCAGTATCTCTGCCCGCAGTGCTGAAAGCCACTTCTCTTACATGGCTGGTTTGGGGGTAGGCTGGCTCCCTCCAAGCCTGCTGGGCTGCCAGGAGGTCTGCCTGGTGTGTGAGGGTCTGAGGCCTCCTGGAGTCCATTTAACCACACATCTAAGACCCGGTCTGTCAGGGAGGACCACTCTGGGGAACCCACGGGGACCACAGCCTTGGACCTTCGGCATTTGCTAGGTGTCTGGATCTATCAGCGTTTCTTTTTTTTTTAATTTTACTTATTTGTGTGGCTGCCCTGGGTCTTTGTTGCTGTGCACGGGCTTTCTCTAGTTGTGAAGTGAGGGCTTCTCATCGTGGCAGCTTCTCTTGCTGCAGAGCAGACTCGGGAGCTCACGGGCTTCAGTAGCTGCTCCCAGGCACGCGGGAGCTTCCCAGACCAGGGATGAAACCCGCATCCCCTGCACTGGCGGGAGGAATCTCAATCGCTGGACACCAGGGAAACCCTCCACCAGCTTTTCTAAACAGCTCTGGTACTGTGCAGGGCACCTCCCCGCCACACACACTCCCCGGTGAGACTCTTGGTCTCATCTCCAGGCTTGGGCCAGGCCCCCTGGGAGTCCCAGCACCTGACACCCGCCCCGGGGCTTTTCATCTGGAGCCGTGTTCATCCCCTGCCCCTTAAGAGTCTACAGTCTTTGGAATAGGGGCCACTTTCGTGAGGGCTCCCTTCAACACACTAAGCCTGGTGCTCCGCGACCACCTGCTTAGTCTCTATCTACTCCCGTTCTCTGATTTATCTTCTCAGGACAGGGCAGTCTGAGCTGATCTTCTTTTTTTAAAATGTTTAGTTAATTGATTTATTTTGACCGCGCTGGGTCTTAGCTGCGGCATGCAGTCTCTTAGCTGCGCGGCATGCGGGATCTAGCTCCCCACCCAGGGGCTGAACCCAGGCCCCCTGCATTGGAAGCGTGGAGTCTCACCCACTGGACCACAGCGAAGTCCCTGAGCCGACCTTCATTAGGTTTTGGTCTGTATGATGACTGTCTCTCCCCCTCCCTTGGAGGCAGGAACTGGCCTGGCTCATCCACTGCTCTGACCCCTGCCGAGCAGGGGTTGCAGAGGCCTTGCCTCTCCCTCTTGATGGATGCCAGGGCTGGTATTCTGGGTTCTTAGAATTAACTCCACCCTCCTCCTTTCACTTGAGCGACCCCTGGGAGCTTTCTGTTGTGGCAACCCAGGTAAGTTCAGGAAATGTACTGTGTGCTCCTTTCCAGAGAATAGATGACTGTGGGGTGAGGGAGACTTCGCAGGAAGAGGCAATAGCATGTATTTGTGCATGTATGTATGTATTTGGCTGTGCTGGGTCTTACTTGCGGCACTCGGGGGCTTCGATCATTGTTGCAGCATGCAGGATCTTCACTTGCAGAATGCTGTTAGTTGGCATGTGGGATGTAGTTCTCTGATCAGAGATTGAACCCAGGCCTCCTGCCTTGTAAGTGCGGAGTCTTAGCCACTGGACCTCCAGAGAAGTCCCAGCACAAGGTTTTTCAAGGTAGAGATGGATAAGTTCAGGACATATACAGAGAAGAAATTGTTAGCTCTCTCTCCAGTATCCGTTCTCTTCTTTCTTACTAATGGAATCCCAATTATCTTGGATGAAATCATGCCAGCATTACTTGGAGACAGAAGGAAGTTAACCAAATTCTGGCCAGTGGGATATAAATTAAGTTCTTGGGTAGGGATTCCAGGACAGTTCCTTTAAAAGGGGACTGAGTCAATCTTTCCTCCTTTCTGCCTGGAACTGGAATGTGATAGCTGGAGCTGTTGTGGCTACACTCTGAAATAAGGAGGCTTGAGGCTAGAAGCCAGCCCTGTCGTTAGCTTCAGACTTTCCACCCAAGGAGAGGGAAATAAATCCCTATCTTGTTCAAGCCACTGCTGCTCAGGTCTGTTACTTAGAGCTAGTTGCAATTCCTAAATGACTCAATAGGGCCAGTCAATGTCTCCTTCTTTGCCATCTCCTTTTGTCTAGATCATCTTGGGTAAGCATTTCCCTTAAGGAGGACTTTGAGAAGCTACAGGTGTTGAAGGAAGGGAGAACAGGGCCAAGACATGAAGCCAACCTTGGGAGGAGGTAGGGGGTCCCTGATCTCTCTGGAGAGAGATCCTCCAGAGACAAGCCAGGCCTGGGAGTGTCCAGGGAGGGTGGAGTCTGGAGGGACCCTAGACTCATCCACTGTTGCCCTCAACAATAAATATGCAAATAAACCTGTGGCGTATGTTTGAGACATGACACCCAGGGCGCACACAAATCCCCAACAGCTCCACCCCATTCACCCTAACACACACAGCCAGTGTTTGGAAATGCTGTAACATCTGGAACTCTGCCAGTGCCTCCCCGACGGCCACCCCGGCCCCTGCATCTAGAGCGGTCTGGTCCCGGACCGGAGTCTGTGGCCAGCCCTGGAGTCAGGTGGCTAGGCCCCGGGGCCAGAACTTGGGTGGGCAGAGATGCCCCTCCGCTGGTTAGGGCAGGTCTGTGAGGACGGAGTGTGCAGGTGGAGGGCAGCTCATCAGCTAAGCCTCGCCTCCTGTGGGTGAAGAGACAGAGCCCAGAGAGGAAGAGCTGGCCCACCAAAGTCACACCGCCCCGGGGGGTGAGGCGTGCAGACACTAGTCTGCACTTCACAGGACCCATGGCTGGCATCTAAAAGGGTGCCATTATTTTCCTTTGTTTTGGCCATTCTCCTTGCCTGGAATGCTCTTTCAGATAGCTGCAAAGCTGCTTCATATCCTTCCTTAAACCTCACCTTCTCCAAGGGGACTGCCCTGACTGCCTATTTAAAGCTGCCCTTCAGGATTTGCCTGGTGGTCCAGTGGTTCAGGACTGCCCTTCCACTGCAGGGGGACACAGGTTCAATCCCTGGTCAGCGAACTAAGATGCCGTGTGCTGCATGGTATAGCCAAAAAAAAAAGTTGTACTCCCCCTCCCACCCCCTCCTCTCCTGCTTCTCCCTTTCTCCTACCCCAAACGCCACATATTTCACTGTGTGTCAGCTCCGTGATGCAGGCATATTCTGTGTCAGTTCCACTGCTGCATCCTCAGTACTTAGGACAGGGCTGGACATGGGGTAGGTAAGTGCTCACTACATACCTATTAACAGAATGAATGAATGAATGAACATCAAGCTTTGCCACGAGTGCTCCTTTGATGGAAGGCATGAAGAAAGTGCTCAGGTGACTTCTTTTAGGGCAGAAGTGTCCTCAAATCCATCTCCCACCCCATGGATACAGGGTGCCCCAGGGCAGGAGCAGCAGCTCCAAGCTCACAGAGTTCACTGATCCTTTGATCCTTCCTGAGCCAAGTTGTGCCCTTTTAAGGGCAGATTGAAAACAAAGCTTAAATTGTCTCTGCTGCTTTCCTCATGAAAGAAACATAATAGGTTCCTCCACCCCTCTTAAGACCATGGCCCTCTATCAGTGTGAGGTGTGCGCTGTGTAAGACCAGCCATCTATGTGGTGTGGTGGTCTGAAGTCAGAGCCTCCAGCCTGGCCACTGCTTAGTATGTGACCAGGAGCCTCAGCCTCAGTCTTCTCATCTCTTAAATGGGAATAACAATGATACTTTAACAGGACATTGGCTTCTCTTGCCTGCACTGTTGACTGACAATGCACTCGTGCCAGCCTGCTGGGGGAGTGGACGTGTTCTAGATCTTGAGTGGGGTGACGGTTATGATTTGTGCACTTAAGAGTTCACTGGACTTTCCCTGGTGGTCCAGTGGTACAGAAACCTCTTGCAATGCAGGGGACGCGGGTTTAGGATCCCTGGTCCGGGAAGATCCCACGTGCTTTGGGGCAACTAAGCCCATGCACCACAACTGCTGAGCCCTTGGAGCCCAAGAACTGCAACTCCTGTGCCTGTGTGCCAGAACTACCGAAGCCCGAGTGCCTGAAAACCTGCGCCCCGCGACAAGAGAGGCCCGTGCGCCGCAGCTCCAGAAAACCTGCGCTCCGCAACGAGAGAGGCCTGTGCGCCACAGCTAGAGAAAAGCCTGTGCGCAGGAATGAGGATCTGGTGCAACCAAAAGACTAA